AGAAATTGTGTTATTTCTGGCCTGAGTGCTTTGAAGTCCTTCAGTTCTGTTTCTGCTTTTACACCTGACAGCATCTATCTTCGTAGCCTTGTCTTGTTGACCGCAGGGACAAAGGCAGAACATAAAACACTGCTGAAAACAGATGTGAATAATTAGTTTTGTGGTGGGGCTAAACCAGGTTTGTTTTTAACTACATCCACTCTCAGCCTGTCACTCTCCTTTTCTGTTTTCCACGGTCACTGTCTCTGTGAAGCACCTTGGCTTTGCAAGTTGGCCTGACCTCTTACAAAGCTCATTTTGTCTCTACATCTAAAGTTCTTTTGATTTCTGCTTTAACTTCATGCAAGTCCCATTTCAACTTTGTTACAGAGGTTAAAAAAGGGCAAGAAAAAAAATAGTTTCTCTGTCATTTTTGCTCTTATGATCTTTGCTGGAGTTGCCAGAAAAGTTTTTAAGGTGGAATCCATGCTTCCCAGTCACATCGCCATTAAGAAGGTTATAGAGCTCATCAGTCCCTCTACTGTCTTATTTTTAGAGCTAAATGAAAAGTTAAAAGGATGTAAAGTCTATTCAACTTTTCTTTGCATATTTACAATATGTTAATAATTGCAGCTAATGTTCTCAAAGTTAGAATTATTATTTCTAATGGTTCTTGATTTGAAGCGTTATGGTATAGCAGTCAGCTTGTCATGACTTTGACAAACACTTTATCATTCTATTTAAGGAATCAGTTTTAATCTTCAAAGAAAAGGGCTTAGTTAATTTAGAAGTCAAGCAGAGACATGGCAGTCAAACGAGCTTTTAGCACAATAGATATTCATAAAATATCCTCCATAAAATAGTAAGCCTTAGGGACAGATGCAGTCATATAACATTCCCTCTTTTTTTCCTCCTGCTTATGTCTACTCCCACTGAGGATGGTCACTGGAAGTAAGTGCTTGTAAATTCAGGGCCACCTGACCTGCCATAAAAAATAAGGTTTTTTAAGAATCTCATGTAGAAAAGAAGAGCGAGCAGGACTGTTCTTTGGTACATACTGATGCCTTCAAGGGAGCCAATTCAGCAAAGTTTGGGTTAATATTCCTGAAGTCGGAGAGAGAACTGTCTTAGTCTCAGAGCAATTATTAAATGCTATTACATTTACATTTGCAATCTGATGGCAGAATAATGCAGCCTCCTGGGGGAGGGGAGAAACTCCAGTATCAGGGATATTTAAAATGAGACTGAATAAAAATTGCATGAAGTCCTATATGCAGGAGTCCATTAGTACTGCCCTACCATAAGACCTATCTCATGCCTTGTGTCCCCTTCTAGAGAAAAGGAATTTTGGCCTTAACAAGGGCTACTTCATCGTCATGATTATGGAGCTATTCTTGGACTCCTGTGAATTCCTATCTGTCTGATTCTTGTAGCCATTACCACTTTTGCCATTTTCATCCCTGCTGACAATTCCCAGCCATTTCTTCCTAGCACTCTTGAAAGCCATCAGCACTGCTTCAGTCTGCTGGGCACAAATCCATAAGCAATCAAGAGGGGATTTATATACTTAAGTCCAGGAATTGTCTGTTTCTCTTCCTGCCCCTTAACTCCCCCTCTCCTAAGTGAGAGGCACCTCATTTTTATCAGCTACTTTTTCTGGGCATTCAGGCTTCTGTATATATGTGTGCAGAAATGTCAATTTTGACATATCTTTGTGCAGCTCAAAACCTGGTCTTTACCTGAACAGGCTGGATACAGCCCCAGCCCAGTTACCCAGCCTCCAGCGGCGAGCACAGACAGGTGAGATCAGGGCTGCAGCACAGTGGCTTTATAGACATGCTTGTCACTTAATTTCACTTTCCTGCTTGAGCTTGGAAATTTGTCTACGAGATCATGAGTGTGTTAGTCCTTCAGGAATGAAGGCAAGTCCATGTAGACCATATTTCTGCAGGACTGATTGTGCTCGGTGTTTATCCTGTGCGTAACACAGACCATTGCTAATTCATTTGAGCAGCATTATGCTGAGCCAAAGTGCTTTAATTGGAGCAAAGCATCTGAGTCCTCAAGAAACTAAACTATTTGCCAGCTGTGGAGAAGAAAGAAGACCAACCCTCATGCAAGGGAAAGGAAGTAATTTAAGTGCAGATTTTTCAATGGACTGAGCATGACTACAAAGTAGGAGGAGGTGAAAACACATTTAGCCAAAACCCAGGGGGAAATTTGCCTCCCAACCGAAAATAAGGCAAGTGGTGTGACCCTGTGTGTGTGATCATCTCCTCCATTTAAAAGGCTTTTTGGTATGTGACTGAGGCATGGGCACATTTAGTGGATAGTGAAGAAAATCTCTGGTCACAGCCAGATCCTGGAGGTATATTTGCTTTGTATCCTGGCAAAGTCTTTCAGTGCAAATAGGAAAGATCTCCTGTAATAAACGACCAGTCTTTAAGAAGATGTGTTTGAGGGTTTTTTCCCTAAAATAATCCTGCAAACCTTTCTCAATAACAATTCCATTTTTGGCAATTCTTTCATATAAAATGGGAACGTTTGAAGTGAATCATTTGATTTGCTTAACTGAAAGAGGTTCCTACTACATTTAATTTTAAGCTGATTCTCTCTAATTAAAGTTCAAGTCAATCTTAAATATTTAGCCTTATTAAATGAAGATCCAGGAAAGAAAATGTAATAATCTTTTCCTTTTTTGCTTTACCTGAAGTGTGCCTTTTTTGGGTTTTTAATTTTGAAGCGCCAATTTAATTTGAGCTACCAGCTTGAATAATTTCCAGGATTTCAAGCACAATTTAGTATTTTAAATTGAAAAGCTAGATTAGTTAATTCTATATTATTTTAGAGACTTTTCCTTATAACAGTTTTGCTGGGGGAGAGAAGCAGGGTAGAATCAAATTCTATGTTGATCAAGTGATTGCCCATATAAATGACCAGTTAAACATGCAGCCAACATATTTTTCCACGCTTGAAATACCGGGGAATTTTTTGAGGATATGCTTGCTGAGATTTTTTTGGTAACTTGACCTGGTTGGCTTGTATCCTCAAACTTGTGCACCTAGAAGGCAGGAGTATGAGATCTGTGTTTAGTGCCAGGATTTCAGTAGGATGAACAGTTACTCAGCTGTCCATGAAAATCAGACCATTTTAGGGGACTCTCCCACTGCAGTCAGCCACCCAGTTCCCATGTGACTAAGCTTGAAAATGTGAACTTGATGTCTAATAAGCAAGAACTGTCTGTTTTCTCCTCAGTTCCCTCCCCTCATTTCTTGGCTGGTTGCTATTCATGTTCAGCTGATTTTCTTTTTTTTTTTTCAGCCTAACTAACTATGACACCAGACAAATTAGTGAGCATTTTGTTTCCATGATTAGTCAGTGAGCTTTCGGTTTTGGCACTGTGTTGTAGCATTGCTTAGAGGATAAATAAATAAATCAATCAGATATTCCTGACAACTGTAAAATGATTAAGCAAAGGAAAAAAAAAAAAGCCATACAACAAGAAGTTGAATGATAGCTCACTTCATCACTCTTTAATGTGGAATCAAAAAGTACATGTTTTTTTTGGCTCAGATAACTGGGCATACTAACTTGGAATCAACATTATTATTTCCTTCTTCCCACTGCACATGGATCTGCTGGTGGTTGTTACATGGAAGTGAGAGACTTCTGGTATCTGAATTTCTGATGGGTTAAGTTGTAGTTTCGATTTTGAAGTGTGGTTTTAGTCTGAAACAGAGTATGTAAAAATGGCAATGGCGCTCTCAGTGAATCAAGCTCTGGCTGTTGACCTGAGTGACAAAACCCACTTTTTCCTCCTTGCAAAGCTGATGCTGTTCACGGGGACTGTGTTGGCTTTACTTCTGCCTCTCACCGTATCGCCACACTGATAACTAGTTGCAAGGGCAAAATCTGTTCTCCTTTAGTATCTGGCCAATGTTCTTGTTTCTCATGGTGTTGGACAAGGCAGCTGTAGGAAGACTTCTGCCTGAAGGTTTTTACTTTTTTACAGTCAAGGACGGATCTGTTTGCTGCCCCCAGCCTGGTAGCGGCTGCAGGTCCAGCAGCTGGAATATCCTCACGAGCTCTGAGCAGTTTTGGCCTGAGGTCTCTGGGAAGAAGACAAAAGGAATTCTTCCTATCTCCCAGCTACATTTGTTTTATGTTTTGGAACACAGGGTACAAACTCTGTGCCTGACTATTTGACCCTACTTGTGAAATACACAACTTTTCTTGACTTCAGTTAAATTTAATCCAAGATGTCAGAGAGCAGATTTTGGCTCAGCCCATGCAAAATGGCCATTTTGATGCATGCTGGTCTATTAGGTATGCTAATGCTAAACATATAAAATTATGCCTCCGTACATATTTTTCTCTGAGGCCTTCTAGCCACTTAAACTATGGATGACCTGTAAATACATGCGCTTTCTCAGTTCAGGTGGCCCTGAAGAAATTGTGAACATTTTGGCTATTACAAATATCCTCAATAATTCCTGAAATCTTATTCAAGAGAACATGTCTTGTGTGTGCATGCAGTGAGGGGAGAAGGAAGGGGACCCCTTGAGGTTCCTCCTGAAGAGATGAAAACTGAAATGCATCAGTTCACTTAGCCGAGCCCTGACATAAAGAGGTGCGACTTTGTTGAATACAATAGTTGACCTATGTTTATCATTCTGAGTTTTGTTTCAAGTAAAATACATCCTCAGTTATAATTTCCATTGTATCATTTGTAATGGTGACTGCAAAGAAGACGACACCTGAAATAAAGCATGCCAGCAGTCAGCTGAAGCATTTCCGTTATCATCACTTCCATAAATTTATATGTGAAATTTTTCTAAAACTGCTCTGTCTGCTTGATGACACAGCAGCACAAAATATTGCTGTGGGTGGGTAAGGCTATTCATCCACACCTAACAAACGAGCACCCTGAAAACTCCTCTGCGAAATGCCGTTCTCAGGATACTTTGTGTTCTCAAGGTCAGCCTGTTTCCTAACCCTTGTGTCCTTTTCCTTTCTTTCAGGGTTTTGAGGACCCCAAGGACAAGTAAGCAAATTTAATTCTGTCATACATTGCTATGTTTGCACGTTTGGGATTTTTTTTTTTTTTTTCCTCATATTAAAAAAAGACAAAAACTAATGCCCAGCAGCCAAGAATAATGCCTGGACTCCCAGAGGTTTCTCTTGGAGGGACAGCCAGTTGAGGGTATGGGCTTGACTGATGTGCATTTAGAACTGCTGCTGCCCTCAAAACACTTATTCTTTTGCGTGGTTCTAACTTGCTTTTGTAATTAAAGTGTTTTTGCTGCTTTTCCCCTTTCCTCCACTATTCTATGTTATTTGCTGCTTTGAAAATATCCCAAGAACAAAAAATTCCTGTAAAGTATGTCTAAGTATTGAATATCTCTGATAAGAAAAAATTACGTATGTATTGAAATATATATAGTTTCTCAGTTTATTTGTATATCTTTTATATTACTGATTATTGCATATTACTTCTAGATATAAAAATGAACTGAGAAATAACAGCTTATTTGAAGAAGTAAATTCAAACTTTCATCCTCTAAAATACAGCCACATTAAAGCAGCATTTTCTTTTTTTTTCATGTGAAACTTTAAAAAAAAAGTTAAAATAACAATTTAACAAGAGTGGTATTTTGAAAAATTGCTTTTGGAGGAAAAAAACCCAACCATGTTCACTTTTTTAACTTAAGTTCTACAGCTGGACATAACAAAAGCATTTCCTCTATTGAAGGTGGTTGGGATAATTTCACATTCTGTCCTACTGAATGGCATTAACTGTAAGCTTGCTCAGAGCAAGATACGTAACAGTATAGAAGACTGATGCCTAAAATACGTTGCTGTTGCTCCTGATCATGTTTCTTAGGCTGCCTGTCAGGACTAAGCAGACCTCTGTGAGCTGGGACAGCTAAATATTTCTATGGGCCCTAAGCATCTGGCTGTGGGAAAATTCACATTATGGTGGTTGAGCATTGAGAGTAACTCCCTAAAAGTAAGGGGAAGTGATAATTTTGAGCATGGCAATATTAAGAATCATTCTCTCCTTCCCTTACCCTTCAGTGCAAACTTGATTTTCATAACGGTTAGCTCTGTGCACCAGCAGAACATTTTTGGATTACACTGAAGCCAGCATCTCTGGGTTAGTTGCTAGCTTTCACATTTGCAAGCAGAGTGCAAAATTTGCTCCAAACTCTGTTCGTGCTGTTCCTGTCCCTTGCAACAATTTTCTCTTGGATGCATTTGGAGAAATCTCAGCACTGCTTTTAAGAGGTGTTTCTGCAAGTTTCATGGTGGCCTGAAACCCTTGGTTTCCCCCCTGCAACACACACACTATCAATATATCAATAAATATTTCCACATACCAGTTTCATTAGTCTATGGCAGTACCTCAGCTCTGACTTACAGGCACAGCCTCCAGGGCACTCCTTAGCACGGGGAACTTTTGTATTTCAATTTAAAATTACATTTATGCAAATGTACCCGAACTTGCTTTACAGTGATTTAGTTTGGGTACAACTGGCTGCAAGTCACCCGAGCAGCTAGTCATATGCAAGGGGACTAGGCTTCCCTGCAGTCTACATGAAGGTCGCTGCCTCACTGCGAATATCCCAACAAGGCAATTTAAAACCTGCAGGGGTATTTCACACAATCTGCAACCACAGAAGTTATTGTAGTATTAGAGATACCCTCAGCCATACAATGACCTATCACAAAACTGAAGGCAGCAGAGGCCAAAGCCCAAGCAGGCAGTTTGTTCTTCTCTTCGCATCTTCCTGAGTGATGCTTTCAGACTGGAACTTGAAATTTAACTGAGGTTCACCAAGATGCTGAGCCTACTCTTTGCTTCGATTCTAGGGGAAAATGTACTGCATCTCTCGTACGTGGTATGAAATGACTAAATATGAATGACCCAAATGTGTAAATAACTCTCAGGATCTTGGAAGACATTCTGTAAATATGAAGCCTAATGATTTCCTTGCTCATTTTTATGAGTCCGGAAGATGTTGCGAGGACTGAATGAACATAAGCAGCATCATCTTGAGTGCTCAAGCAGATGTGCTTCCTCTAAGGAATGTCCTGTCTTTCTAGGGACAAAACCACTTTTGATTTCAAAGTGGAATATAGAGCCAAAAACAACCCCTTATTTTCCCTAACCCCACTGGAATATTAAGGTTGGCTAGAATAGAGAGAAGACCTTGAGACAAACTAGGTTTGCAATTGCCACATAGTCGCTAAATAGATGATGATGGTGTGTCGTCATGACCCAGCTGAGCTGTAGACACATTCAACTCACTGGCTGGGGCGAAGGCAGTTCAAATGGAAATGAGTGGATGGACTTGATTTATTTTTCTCTTGACAAGAGGTACATGATAGAATTGGGATACAGAGGGCTTCTTGAAATCTGATCCAGTTTTGCAGAAAGCTTTTGGAGAGCCTTTCTTTTGGAAAGAGACCTTTAACTTTTAAAACAGAGTCACATGCTGGTTTGTAAGCTGCTTTGAGCGGTCTCTGCTCTACAGCACAATCTTACCTATAGGGGCCTGCTGGCTGCAACACAGTATTTTTGAGTTATGCACTGTTATGCAGTACAAATAAAACCGAGAAAATAAAGCAGTGTGCCTTTTCATCATGCCTGTCAGACCTCAGAATTTTTTCTGCAGAGTGCCTAAGTTGAAGGTCACACAACATGAGCCGTAAGTTGCTGTGCCATCATGGGGTTTGTACATAGAAATAGTTATCTGCTTGAATATGTCCCCGTGCAAGTGGGGGGCATATTCCAGCGGATAACTATTGGTATATCCCGTGGATAACCTTGGCAATCATGCAAGCAGAGCAGAAAAACAGCACTTCAGGATTAGCTTTTAATTTCTGCCTACAGCTAGTTTTAAGGCAGACCATTAAAGAGACAGCATCAAGTCATTAAAATCCTGTTAGAGTTTAAAAATAACTAGAGATTTTGGGGAGGTGCTTCAGGTTTTCCTGATTCTCAGTGCAAAATGCCTCAGGGTGATTTAAGTTTTCTGTGTTGCTTTTTTTTCAACAGTTTTTGAAAATCAGCCTCGTTTTTCTGAAGCTGAGCATCAGAAACACACTGATACTAAAGATTATAAGCAATTTAGAAATCTTGTTCCACATATTTAGAAAGCAGAATCTAACTTGTATTTTTTTCTTTTGCTACTTTTTTGTTTTGCAACCTTTCCTTGAATTAAGCACATATCTTGTAAACAGAAAACTTTGTCTGGTTTATACTTTATACTTGTAAATAACAGCATGAAGGGGAGGCAGTGGGGCATCAGGCCACATATTTTTTCCCACGTGTTTGTTCGGTGAACAATTTTTTCTCAAAAATGGAGAATTGTTCAAGTTCAGAAATTTTCATAGAAATTTTTACAGATATTATTATTCGGAAGCAAGAAATATGACTGGTTACATAAATAATTTTGCCAGTTCAGGCACTAACAGCTTAGGGAAGAATAAGTCAGAGCACTAGTGGAAGGAGACTACTGACCGGTTTTAGAGAATGAAGAATAGTAAAGAGACTGCAAGGCAAGAAAAGCGATGGATGTACTATAGAAAAGGGCATGTAAATCAAATTCTTTCACTGGTGGACTCAGGACTGGCAGTGAACTCTAGAGCTGGTATCATTTTCCTCTCAGCTCATAATCCATTTTCCAACTTGAAGCAGTTATAAGCAAAATGCCATTAGCCTCTAGCTTGTTATACAGTGAAATGATAACATGGTGAGAAGGGGGAAATTATCGTGTCCTCTTATGCTCCCTTTTCTTGACATCCTCAGGAATACACAAGAAAGTATGAACCCAGAAGATGAAGTGGATGAGTTTCTGGGCCGTGCCATCGATGCCAGAAGTATTGATCGATTACGCTCTGAGCACGTGCGCAAGTTCCTCTTAACATTCAGGGAGCCTGACTTGGAGAAAAAGGTAATGTCTAAAAATCATTGCAATGTGTCAGTCAAGCTTTTTGTGAGTTTTAATATTCCTGCATAAGATCAAGTTTTATATCTATAGGTAAAGCTAGATTTTAGGTGTTGGAGGTGGGGTTGTGATCTAAAAAAATCCATGCTTCGTCATGGAAACCTTAATATCCATGTCTCTAGAAAGCCACAGTCATCTGGAAAACCAAGCCATTTCTGTCAGACACACATGAATATAAAATGATGAGCTGTAAAGGAAATCCAGAATAAAACTGATTTGTTTCTCTGACCTTGAGGCATCCAAACTGAGATTGCAGTCACCCCTTGTCTCCCTCAGATCACTGGAGAAACTGACTTCAGCTTGCCTGAGCTCTGAATCACCTCTGGAGGGGCTTTACTCTGCCCTTTGGCCCCGCAAGGAGCCCCAGGTGCTACTAAGGTTCATTGGGATGCAATTCATACTGTGGTCATTTTTGGGAACCCATTTTAAGCAACAAGTAGAGTTCTCTGTCTCACAGTAACAAACCTAGGGCTCCCAAATAGCTGATTGCTTCCTGATTTTGTTTCAGATATCATTGGTGTGAGGCAAAGATCTTTTCAATTTCTCTGTCTGTGTAATAGAGACAACATCGGCTCTAGATGGCTGCAAAGTTAAATTCAGTTAAGTCCGGAGGTACCGTGATTAAGTGTACTATATAAACTGCTGTTCTTAATTGCCCAAGGAAAGTCAAAGTCATCTGTTTTTTCTTTTTTTTTTTATCTAAGCGCAGATCCTTGGGATTCTTGAGTGGTCTTCAAGTTAAAGTCATTGTTCAATGGAAAAAGCTTCAGTAATTAAGTTTGTACTAACAGTGATTAAGTTTGCACTAACTATTTTAGCATTTCATTTAGAAACGCTCTTTCAATGACAGGAATTAAAACCTATTACAGAAGCATACCTTTGCAGGATTTACAGCTATTCAAATAATCAGTGTGGATCTGGATAAAAGCTCAAGCATGTAATTTCCCCTCACTCCTTCCCTTCAATTTTATAGCTAAAAACTGCTAGGGAAATTAGTGGTTCACCTGTTCTGAGCACCTTTTTTTTTGTGGTTCAAACTTTGAGACCGTCTGTACTAAGAACCATGCTTCAAGCTAAATAAAGCATCTTTGGGAATCGGATGCAGCTCCCATGTGACCAATACACAAGTAGTTGGAAGGAGTGACTTTGTGAGAACCACAGCATCCTCACACTATCATCAGAACGAGCCAAGCTGTCTGCACAAGATACAAGGCTTTGTCGTTAGCAACATTCATCCCTATTGAAGGAAACTTCCCATAGAAGAAGTTTAGGTCTGACAATGGTGACCTAGAATCCTGGTCCCGGTTAATCCATTCCTCTTCCTCTCGTGCAAGGGGCAGATGGTGAATCCTCTCTCCACCCAGCTGTGTGGGTTTGTTCCCTGGCCTTTGGGTCTGTTCAAGCCCTTACAGCTTGCCCAGGGAAAAGAGGAGTTTGTAATGTTAGTCATTTCCTACCAGCGCTGCTTTCGAAGGACCTAAACGGAGGCCAAATAAGAAGTTTTTGTGGAGAGAAGTTTCTTGTGGAGTTCCCACTAACATAACCCTGTTTGCGTTTTTGCAGTACTCCAAGCAGGTGGATGACAGGTTTGGAGCCTACGTGGCTTGTGCCTCCCTAGTCTTCCTCTTCATCTGCTTTGTTCAAATCATAATCGTGCCACAGTGAGTATCTTTTCATCCCTTTGCTCCCATCTGCTCCCCTCCTCTATTCTGGCCTACTTTTCTTTGTTTTTTTCTTGAGGATTCAGAGCACCAAGGGGAAGAGAAAAATCCTTAAATAATTCATGCTCAAGTGATGCATGGTGCTTATTGTTTTCACTCATTTCTAGTGCAGATTAAAACCTCCTCACTGGCATGTGAGGATTTCTGTTTTCCCAGTGTGATTTCTCTTACTGTTTATCTCCATCGTAGGAAATTCAGTTCAGCACGTTTGTAAGCCTATGGAAAACAAATATCACTAGGTAGGAAGGATTGCCTACTAAGGCATAGTACACATTCATGACATGAGGCTAGGCTGTCCTCTTATCTGAATGCAGTTGGACAGGGAGGTGAAAAACCCATCATAGCCACGTTGCTCAGAGCATTGAGGTCTCAGGGTCTGCTTCACAGATGAGGCATAACCTCTCATGCATTTATTCTTCTGGACTCAGAGCAGCAGTGCAAGAAAAAAGGTAGAGAGGGAGTTGAGCTACACATGCATAAGCTTTGAGTAGCTTGCTCCAGGTTTAAGGGTTGTAGTCATTTCTTTCCCCAGGCAAGAGTGGCATAAGCTCCTCAGGGCTGTGGGGCACAGTGCTCTTGAACCACTGCAGTGAAATGCCTTGTCTGAAAGGCACAGTGGAACCCACTAGATCTTTTCCAGCAGTGAGCTCTGCAGACATGGTATTTCTTCTCAAAGAGTTCATAAAAAATCCCTTAAAATTAAAGCATGTTGGTATTTCCTGTGCTCTGGTTTAGTAGCAAGAATGTATCATTCACTGAGCAATGCTGTGTTGGAAATAAATTTGGAGTTAGTAATTTTTAATCTGACGAACAAGATCACAGAAGCTCTGAAAATGCTCCAAATCCATCTTTATTACAAGAAGACAAAAACATTGTTTAAAGAGAGCTCCAATACTACTTTATGCCATTACAACTGCTTTCTACTTCTGTTCACACCACAGATCTTTTCAGAGTACAGATTGGTTTGTAGCATTCAGATCAGATATGCGGAAGGTCACAGAAACGATGCAGTCTGGTATTTGAGGTCATTAACTCTCCCAGGCAAGAGGACATTCACTTCTGCTCACAGAAAGATTGAATCAGCAAAATAACATCAGTACAAATGCACTGTGTAAACAGACAGATCCACTTTGGGAAACTTGAAGTGAAGCTGAAAGAGGCTCAAAATTGAAATTAGATCAATCCTAGTGATTAATGTATTGTTAATTATGTCCAAAAATGTTCTTTGAGAGTATTTGATTTAGCAAGGGCTTACACTTTGGATGTCTGGATATTACTACTGTGACTTCACACCTGCAGAGGCCCTCTACCAGCCTTTGTGTTGCCCATCAAAACCCCTAAGCAGCCACTAAGCTGTTGCCATAAAACCCAGTTTAACACAGAAATGACAACTTGACAATTTCTGATCTGTGGCAACCATATGGCTGACTCTTTTGTATTATGCAAGAGCCAATCCTTTATGGCAGTGTGGTGTAAATGTCATGTTGCTCAGTCTCCTTCCACATCACCCATAAGGTTGGTTTTTTTTGGTAAGTTCTGAAGTGTCCTTAGGCAGCCTGGCTTGTCTGAAAGATGATTTGGTTCAAGAGTAAATAAAATTCCATGTTTTAACTTCAGGTCAGATATACTTTCCTTCACCTTTTGGTTTGTTTTTGCTTATATTTCAATTGCATACTTTTGGTCTTTTATTGAAGGTAACAGTTAAGCATCAACTGAAACCACAGGTGTATATGTGTCACCATCAGAGTTTCATGAAAGACACAACAAGGAAGTTGAATCTGAAACTAGAGACAAAATGGCAGTGATAATTTATGACTATAAAGAGAAATATCTTTAATGAAAAGCTCAAACAGTGAATTAGCAAGTACAATTATCTTAGTAGTCATGAGAGAACAGAGAGACCAGCTGGCTTTGGTGTGGTTGGCCTGAATGTCATGTTGCAAGAATACTTCCTTTAAATTGTGAATAAGGCTAAGTCCTGGGAGGGGGCCTGTCCTGTCACACTGAGACCAGACACTGGGAAATTGTTGTTGAATATCTTTGTGATCAAAACAGATGAAAATGCATAGTACAAAGTTGGCCCTGGGGTCCTGTTTGTACTTCAAAGTTGGGAGGAACAGGAACCTGCCAAGCTAAGGCAAAACAGCCTGACTGTCCTCATGCCATGGGTGCTCCCATCCCATGCACGAGACAGAGCACGGAGGATGGTGCAGCACAGACATTCCCTGTGCATGGCAAGGATGGGTAGCTATTCCCATTGAGACTATTCCCACCCGGTTGCGCTGCAGCACTCAGCACGCTTTCCTTCCCAGGGGTCTCCTGCCTACAGCCAGCCAGGGGCTGACCTGCCGTAACAAATTGTTCTATCAGCTCCTCTAGCACATGAAATATTTCTCAGTCCCTCTGCTGTCATCTCGGCAGGAAGGTGATCGCTATAAAAGATGCAATATTCTTTGCTCTACAGCCTGCTTAATTCAAAATAGGATGGAGTATCTGTTGCTATTCAAGGCACCTCGTATCTTCTACTGCTGTCCTAATTGGAAAGCCCGTGCAGTGTGTCATAGCTTGTACAAATGTCATGTTCTGGAGAGCAGGGCTGTAGCTCTTCTATATGGTGTGCATTTAAAAAAAAATCTCCTTGATTTCAGCTCTACATTTATGCTGGGTTTTTATCTGACCTGTTTCCTGATCCTGACCACAGTGGTGTTTGTTTCGGTCATTTACTCCTGTGTAAAGGTGAGTACTGTGGTTTCTTTGTAGAGTCCTTTGCCTAAGATAGCTGGATCAGCAATCTGTTTCTTCAGCTAACAGAGCATGTTTTGTTAGCCATCCTTTCCACACTATGTGATAAGGGTTACAGAAAAAGCCTTTGATAATTCAGAATGAACTGCAAACAGATGTTAGGGTTGGCATCTCTTTAGCTCAGCAAGAAGTAATCACTCTGTGGATCTGCATGTCTGTTAAGTCCCCTGCAGGCGCTCTCATATTGATATAAGAAGAACACATTTTCCAGTGTGGAATGAAACACTGACCATTCGTTTCCTCCCTGTAAACTTCCTGCGGAGTCGCCTGTGTACTGGCCCCTGCTGCATATGCATGTTTGGGTAGGCAGATAATCAGAAGCAGAATATAATCAAGGGAAAATATCCTGGGGGGAAGTAAAAGCCATAAACATATAGAAGTTATCAGCCTTTCTCAGATGACTGTACAGAGCTTCCATCATTTGTTGGGCTCTTGCTTGTAACTGGTTTTGATCAGCAAAGAAATACCTTGTGTAAAATCTGAAAACATTAATTCTTCTTGGGAGTCTATGGTAAATTGTCAGTCAGGACTTTGGGAAGGGTGATGCACTCATCTTTTTCGCTCAAAGGTACTCCTATTAAAATATTGATGCTAGTTGATTGTATTTGCAGTCTGGGGGATCTTTCCAGTCTAGCAGTGTCTGAACATGGACTGTGTTCAGATTCAAGCTCCTTAGCCCAAGCTCAGCTTTGTTCCTCAGAGCCTGGAATAAAATAACTCAGTGGCATTATGTTTCCTGCAGAAGAAACAGTGGGGTAATGGATTATGTCGGGCAGATGATTTGCCTCACTTTAATTATCTTCTCTGTGCCCTTTTCAACAGTTGAATGTGGGTGCTCTTGACAGACTTGCACCTTTCATGTCTTTTTGATTTTTGAAAGTTAGATTTGGAGAATTAAGCTTTGCCTTCTCGTTTAGTAAGAGCTACAAACTGTTCCCAGTGAAAGAAGCTTCAGGTTATATTTGAACTTAACAACTCACTCACGAGGCTTCCCTTGGGCTTATGACAATTGTAAAGGGAGCCTAGTTCGTAAGCACAGCATCCTGTTGGTCCTGCTTGTTTACCAGCAATGAGAATTACAAGGAAGAAATAACAGTGCTACTAGGAAGGCTTGGGTCCCTTGAGCTGGGAAATGGTACCCAAAGATGCCTGGTTATACTTGGTGTGTCCATTGCATGTGTGGATGCTACTGAGTGTCATTAGTTTGTAAACTGGTATCAGCAGCTAATGTGATTAGCAGTTAATTAACCAATGTGGAAAGCTTTTGGCCACAGCAACAAAGGACTTGGAAACTCGGTGTAGAGCTATGCTAGAGCCTACTCACGCTGCAGTGCCACCGGCAGCAACATCCCAGTGCACTGCCAGCCGTGCAGAGGCACACGGACACACCAGCTCTACTGCTGCTGTGCAAATATTGGGGTGAGAGCTGTGGCAGACCCAGACCTCTGAAGCATTTGGGCTGGCTGACTTGCAATCAGACATATTTCAAAGCGCACAGCTGTTTGTCACCCGCTGGCTTTTACGGGCTTAGGTTGCTTCCACATACTGACAGCAGCATTCAATTCTTCTGTCGTCATTTAAAGGTTTTGGTTTAGGCTGTTTGGTTTAATATTATTACTGATCTTAATTAACAATTAATTTAAAAACACACAGGATTTTTCAGTCCCTGTGACCCAAGGCAGATGTTCAATCTTGCTTTCTTTGCCTTGAACTTCCAAATTCCTGCAGAAGATGTCTGTTCGGTAGTGCCTGCAACAGTTTTTAGGCTGTCTTTGCCTCAGTGCACAGGCCATGAAAACACAAGGCATCAGAGGGAATTCAAACTAACATCAGAATTTAAAGGGATTTTATGAAGCTCCTGTTATTGCCAAAACTGAGTTTTCAACATGTTGGCCCAGGCCCACAAGGTGCTTATGTATAACATTCAGTGTGGCCAGTGCCTTCTATGCACAGATTGCAAATATTGAAAATATCAGGTCTTCTAGCTCCAGTACCTTTCTGATTACCCCCTTTTTAGTGCTCCAAATTAGCCTCTGCTGACATCTGGTTATGAGCTGGCTTGTTTAGGGGATGGGTACTTCTAGCTTGTCAGCTACCTGTCTGATGGCAGCAGCTCCCAGTAGCTGCAGCCTGCTTCTGTCATTAAAGATTTTGGTGTTTCAAGTCAGAGTTTTTTAACCAAAGGGTTTACCCAGCCCTTGGTTAAGGGGTGTTACTTTATTTCTTTACTCCACATTGCTCCAGGAAGCGTTTTTACACATATGCACAAGGAAGACACTTTCACAGATTCTGTAGATTAAATTTTAAGTCACAGGGATGTCAACATTGTTTGTTTTGTTTCACACTTGGATATAGGATAGGAGAGCATGTGTTTTACATATCAGTGGTTCATTCCACACAAAGTTGGAAAGCAGGTGTCTACCCCAGGATATCAGCATAAGTATAACTTTTGCCTGTTTGCTGTGCTGTTACATGATAAGTGACTTTTTTTCTTCCTCTTTCCATCTTTCATGTGAGATTTTCCTTCCCTGTTTTGGCCTCTCCATCTCTGGCTTTGACAGTGGACAGCAGGCTCTTTCTGGACAGCTCGATCATGTTTTATTTTCTTTTGCTGTCATTATTATCTTCCACTATAAAATTCTTCATGGACTGGAAGTTGTTCCTGGAACTGCCAACACAGCCAGCTTGGCTTTCCAAGTTTCTTCAGCTGTAATAAACAAGAGAGTTCCAGTTCTTCACTTTGATGCTCCATAAAGACTTGGCCACCGCGAAATGGTGTTTCTTCCCAATAGAGTCTAAGGTCATGGGAACCAGGCTCCCTTCACAAATACTCCACTGACAGACATCTGTTTTGCTACTAAGTTATCAAATTTGTGTTTCTTCTTAAAATCCTTAACTTCTGGTATCTACACTGCTGAGTGGAAGTCAACTTCTTGCATGTTCCTGGGAGCACTATGAGAGAAATTTCAAGTTATCCTTGATGAGAAAATAAGTTTTTCTGTAGCTTTACATAGGTGCAGCTTGCCTACCTTTTCTTTGCCTCCCAAAGCTGACCTAGATGCTCCTAAAGGGTTTGATATTTTCTCAAACAGGAGAAAAAATACCCTGAAAACTGTACTTTTTTAAGAGACTAATAAATCTCTGTGGAATAGGTTACATAAATGGACTTGCAACGTCAAGTTGCCTGGAGATGTTGTCTTTTACTCCAGAAGCATCTTAATGTACTTCAAAATTACTCAAAGGCCTTTATTACAAATTGAAAAATCAGAACTTAAAGACCTCATAGTTATTTTCATCTCACAACACAACAGCAATTATCTAAGCCGTTTTCCATGCCCACAATATATGTTATGAAGACAAAAAGGAGAAATACTACTCTTCTGTCTGTGATCAGCTGTTATTGCACGGTACAGTTTTTATTTAGTGTATTTCTGTCATACAAATGACTGGAGCTTGTGGATTATTTTCAGTGTAACACTAATACTTGTTGGATCACTTTTTCAATTTGGACTTTCACCTGTACAACAGTGCCCTACCTTCTCCTTCTATATTCATTGCTACCTGCATGCTTTCAGAGCCTCTATCTTCTGGAATATAATGTATTCCAGTAGCATTTATGCATTTCAATTCAGAATGAACTGGAGTTGACTGGACAATCCAATTTCCTTTTCCTACTGCGGTTATTTTTCTTCACGTGGGCATTTTAAGAAGGCTAATGAGTGACCTCAAGCTTGTGTGGCAATACAAATGTGAATCTCAGCTGTCCAAATGGATCATGTCCTTTCTTTCAGCCCCTGTTCTCAGCAGTGGACTTAGAGTTGCCGTTTCATCAGACCTTCCTTTGTCCTGTTCTTCACTCAGGCAAGATTTGAGTCTTATTAAGAGGAGTAAATGGTATTGGACAGTACAAACCAATGGGCTAACTAGCAACAGCGCAGAGATTTTCATTGCACTGTAATGTCCTGATGTTCTGCTTCTTTTCTGAGGACAGAAGGCATTTCCTTTCCCTTTCCCTTTCTGGGAGGGGAAGTAATTTTCTTTTCTTTTGTCTTCTTTTTTGTTATACCCCTGCCTGGTGGATGTTTTTATGGAGGGAACATTGCTAGAGAGGAGCTGAATTGTCAGAGCTGAGACAGGTCCCCCATTTCTATCATAGAAGTCCTCCAAGCTGCAAGTATTCCTGGTGTCTCCATCTTCCTCTGTGGAATGGGGAGAGCGTCACTTATGTTATAGAGCCTCCATGAATGTTGTTTGCAAGGCAGAGGTTCCTCAGATGTGCAGCATGGCTGTGCCATTGCGCACTCTATTGCAATTCTGACCTCCTGTGGTTTTTGGCATTTGTTTCCTCTTTGGGACTTTTTCCAGCTGTACTTGTTTACTGACCTAAAATTTTCCCTAGTTTGCACAGTAATGAGAACCAAGATTAATACAAAGAAAACATGTTTTCATTAGAATTTGTGTCTTCCACTGATAGCTTTGCTTGATATCTCAGGCTTGGTTCAAAGTCAGGCTTTTTTGGGATCATTGGCAGCAGGGGCTTGAGCCAAGATCCACAAGAAAGCACTCCCGAGTTTTATTTAGGTGCCTGATTTCCCAGAGATTGCAGGAGGAGGTTAGGCCTGTGCGTACCTTTGTGGAGCTTGGCCTTCAGGCCTAAACAAGGGGGTGGCAGGAAAACTTGTCCTGCTCTAATCTAGTGAGAAAACTGTTTAAATGCAGCACAAATACTCCTCCCTCCAAATCCTATAAAGGTTACAGCAGAGGAAGGCCCTATGGCATTTCCCACGTCCCTGCACTGGCAGGGGTCTACTAGCCGACGTCTGCATGGAAGTAGCTGGACGTGGTAGGGCAAGGAGGTATTTTGGTTCATGGCTTATCAACAGAGACAAGGATTTGTATATCAGCAAGGTTTATTTCTGAGAGGTGTTTTGCTTTGTTTTAAAGTGGCTCCATGAGCCTAGAGGATTGCATAAGCTTCCAGTGAATTTCAGTCAATTCTCATGCAGTGTAAGTCAGTCATAACCCAAATTTCCCCTTTCCTTCCATCCCCCCCCGAGTCTCACCCTCTTCTCTCGCCTGGAGTTAGCTGGATTTTTGTGCATGTGCAGGTGAAATCAGCTCATTCAAAACTCTGGCCACGTCAGCCTCTCTCTCCCTCTGTAACAGTCACCAGCTACTCAGTGCTTCGGCCGTTCGAACACTTTGTAATTGCGTTGTAGGACTGCTGTGTGGGAAGCTATGCGCTGACAAAATGTTACATCTCTGAAGATGTAAGAGTGAAGGATAAAAGGGAAAAGCAGGACTTTTAATAGAAACATTAGTCATAGTTAAATTGCAGTGCCGTGTCGCCGTGCTGCTAGCTTCTTTGTGTCTCTAAAAATACCCTCTAGTGGCTTGGTTATTCATGCAGCATGCTGGTAGGGAAGACAGAGCTGGGTTCTGGAAAAAACTTTGGCAGTCTTCAGCAGAGCCCCTCTGCCCTGCCGCGATGGCGTGGAGGGGCAAGGCACTGCGCGGCCGAGGACTGTCACCGCAGAAGGGTTTCCTGGTGTCCATCCCTTGTTGCTCCAGCCCTGAGCTCGCGCGGGGAGCAGTGGTGGCGAGTGAAGAGAAAGGATTTTGATGTCCTCTGAACTTCTCTGGTAGCTGCTGCAGTGCAAAGAGGCCTCATGTGATGCTGAGGGGTGACCCCTGCTGCGAAGGGCTCCTGGTTAGTCTCCATTTTCATCCAGAAACTGCTTCTATCTAGAATACGACGCAGCACCCAAAGCAAAGCACACTGGCGGCCCGCAGTTAGAAAACAATTGGAAGAAAGCTTCTAGCTCTGAGAGGAGTGAATCAGTGGGACGGTCTGTCTAGGGGAGCTCTGTGGTTGCCTTCACTAGCAGTTATTTTTAGCCCCGTGTGCCCGTGGTGCCGAGTGCCGTAGACCAGACGAAGCCAGCTGATTTCTCCAGCGCCTTTCACCGAGGGTCTGACAGATCAAGACTGGCCTGGGCTTTTTAACAGTCTGTTTCTGAAATGGCACCAGAAAGTGCTGCAATATGACTTTGTGATCAAAGGGATATGGCATATATTTTTTTCACTTATGCTTTTTTTGATTTTTGATCCAGTAATTTACAGGCTCAAGCTCCTGGCTGTTTCAGTTACAGATGGCTTGTGGTGTGCTTCTCAAGACAGGATGAGTGCAGGCCTGCAAGCCGTGCTATCTCGGTTCAGGACCCATCATTCCCGTAAGGAAGGACTAAGTAGATCTGGTGAGCCAGCTGGCCTGCTGCCAGGAGACAGTCACGTTCCTGCTCACCCTTGTCCCGGAGCCGCCATCCCCTATCACCCCCATTCTTTACCCCGTGGGCAGCATCCGCACAGATGCCGTGCTGAGAGATGCGGGCAGCTCAAATGCAGGTTGTAATCTGTAAAACAAGCCATGATTCTACATGTTTGTTTAATCTTTTTTTTTTCCCCCCACATGCAGCTTTTCCCAGCTCCACTCCAGACTCTCTCTAGGAAGATTGTACAGTCCAGGACCAATAGTACCTTAGTTGGAGTCTTTGCAATTATCCTGGTTTTTCTATCTGCCTTTGTCAACATGGTATGTGCATTGTTTCCTTTTGACGCACTCGTTTCTGCATGGTTTTCTTAGTGGTGCTCTGCAGCATCGTAACCCTTACAACCACTGGGTTTAATGTAATCCTGCCTAATGCTTACAGCATCTGAGGTCAGTTCCCTTTTGCTTTTCAGGCACCGAAAAGAAATGGGAGCCAAACAGTTGCATCCCTATAGCCCATTATATGCCTGGCACTGATTTGTGCCCATGTTCTTTTCGGATTCTTTAAATATGTCTGCTCCAAGTACATAAGCCAAGCCTGAAGCGTACCCCTGCATGAAGGGCCAGCACCAGGCCAATGCATCATTTAACTCCCACAATATTGAGTGGGACTTAAGTGTTGCATAGGCTTTGTGCCGGCCTTCTGCACGGTGCTGCATCCTTGCTCTGAGTGCAGTTATCACCTAACAGGGACTGTGAATACTTTGCTCTGAGTTGCATTTTTGGGACCAGGCTGGTCTAGCTTTGCATTCAAACGCTGCTGCTAATTTCAGACTCAGAGAGAGATGGGCTGTTCTCTAGGACCCTGCGGCTGCTGGTTTTGCACTTGTACAAATGGCTTCAAGGCTGAATGTATTTTAAAGAATCCACTTGAATATTCTCTACCCTGCATACATCTATTTCATTTTTTAAGAGCGGGGGTGGGAAAAAGGAGAGATGGGCCTGGGCTTAAAGTCCTGAGCTTGGAGGTAGCTACAAAGACTTCACGTAGCTCTCTGCTACTCTCAGTTATGGCCTCAGCTGGGGAAGTGCTGACTTGCACTGGCATGGAGAGGGTTAAACACCTAAAAATCAGACCACTACTGGCTCTTGCCTCAACTTCCCTATACAAGTGGAGACTTAGGAACAATTTTGTGCTCTCTTGAGGTTCTTTAATGGGAGGCACTAGCTCAGTGGCATCAAACACCCCACCGCCTTCCCCCATAGTCACCTGCAAAGAGCTGGTGTGGGTTGCTGTGCACCACACAGAAGTTAGAGCTTTGTTTTTCTGCATAATGTGTGATTCTTTGCATTTGTGAACTGCTTAGTGTAAAAATTAGCAAAATGGACAAATGGAGCAGCACATGGAGGAGATCAGAATGGGCCTCTGCTGCTTCCTCAGCATAATATAGCCCATCAGCCTTTGAGCCTTGCTGCTAAAGTCTTCCCTGTAGAAGGAACCACAGCAGAAGCTTTAGAGGTGAAAAGGGAAAGTTATCAGCTCAGAAATTCCCATCAGCAGAAATGCAGCAACACCAGGACCTTATCACAGACAGTGGGATATATTTGTATGTGTCAACCTTCAGACATGAAGTTGTACGTGAAGTTGAGCATGAAACTAGCTTTCTAGAGTGCACAGCCTGGATTTTATTAACTAATATTTGGGGGAGAAAAAACATAGCCATTGCACGTGCAGTAAAACATAAGACAGTGACTTCATTTTATATATTTTGCACATTGTTACAGCCATTTCTAAGGGGCTTTTTAATTGATGCAAACTATTTTGTTTTCTTCTTCTTGTCTATGCTGTTGAATTTAATACCATCTTTTTCTTCAGTTCATGTGCAGCACTGTGGATCTTGCCAGCTGCATGGCTGCAGAATACAATATCACTCCTGACCGGGTGGACATATGCCTTATCAGCAACCTGACTTCCAACTACAGCCTGGGCACCTTGCAGGGATTCTGTGACAGTCCTTTGCCCAACTGCAACTTTCCAGAGGTATTCCTTGAAAAAAATGGGTTACAGAGCTTAATCTGAGGCAGGGCTATAAAACCTGCATGATAAATCTCAGTGATTCAGAGGAAAGCAAGGTTGCCTCCTGATTGACGTTATGGGACTGACATGGGCTACTATGCACAAACTTAAGTGTCTGAAGTTATTATCATGAGTCCACATTAATGTTTAAGTTCCTTCAGGACTGAATAATCAATAGGCTTTTATAATTGTTGGATCCTGCTTGGAACAGAAGAAATGGTCTTTCTCCATGAAATCCTTAATGGTATGCAGAACTGCAAGTCATTTCAAAGGAGTTTGTGGATGCCCAGTGTTACTTGAAAATCAGTTCACTGAAAATCAGTGTCTAGTCATAGATTTAACCCTTCCCTCCATTGTTTTATGTCCAGATGAAAAACTTTGCTTATGTATTCTTTTCTTTTTCCTATATACTCTATTCTTTCACTAGGTATAGTAGTTTCTAGCCTCAGACAGGTTAGCAGCCCTGATAGTGGTCTGCTTCAGTTTGCAAATGCAAATTCTAACATTTCAGAACAACTTTAAAAAAAAAAAATGCTCCTAATGGAAAGAGAAAAACCTAAATATGTTTTACACACTGGTAGAATACTTTGCAAAAAAAAAAAATTTTTAATCATTTTGCATAGCTATTCAAGATTTTTTTCTGAGTTTTTAGGTCATGGCCATTACGTGTGTTGTCTACTGGAAATTGAAAAGGAATAAAATCTGCCTAGGATAGGGGGCAGAATTTATGTCAAGGTCATCTGGGTTTGTGGGGACCTGACAGATTTATGGCTGATCTGTTGTCATCCAAATGTCCAAGGTGCGACTGAAAGCCCTGGTATCCCACTGTACCTATTTCCATTTGACGTAAGAGGAATATGGTCCCTATCTGATTCAATGAGGTTTCTGAGACCACCATTACTGTGACTTTCAACCCTGCAAAGGCTCTTAGTATGTCCTAAAGAAAGACCCATGAGCAAAATCTGGCACAATGGAGAACTAGAAACAGTCTGTGCCCATCATGAGGTTGCCAGGAGTGCTGGTTCAGGACAGAGAGTCATTTTAAGCAATGAGGAAGAACCATTTTGCATGTTGAGGATGCTATGGCAGCCTTGAGCCAGGTCCTGCCAGTCAGTGGGCTAAGAAGTGAGGAGTCCTCTCCCCTGCGCTCTGCAGGGCAGATGTTGGATCCGGTACAGGCATTATCTGGTGCTCCCAGTGTGCTTTCAGGGGATGGTGGGATCCTACCCCCTCAGCCACAGGGAACATCCACCTATTTTCTAGAAGCTGAAGAGTCAAGTTACAAACTGTACGAGGTATTTTCTGTAATTTAATGTATCAGCGATGTACTATTAATAAATGAGCTTAGAACATAAGCATATTTCTACTTTTGCTTGCTTTTAACTGAAAGGACGGATTGCCTCAGGCAATTTTTTTTTTTGTCAGAAATAGGTCTCTCTGGACAGAGCAAAATCTTAAATCTTCACAGATTTGATAGCAGGAAGGTGATGAGCTGCTTAACATGCCTTTCTTCATTTTACATCCATGCTAGCTTTCCCAGGAGCCATAAATGGCACCTGCAGTCTGCAATCGCATTTGAAAGCACTGGCATGCTAAGCATTCAGCTCTCAGCTTGGCAGAAGGTGCTGCCCCACCACCCAGGTGTGGCAGAGGACTTCTCTACCACACATGCACAGACTCCTGCAGCTGCTGGCAGAAAAAAGATCATGGTGTTTGGCATTGGTAGAAGTTTGTTCAGCCTGTATCTTGCCAATGGATTCAGTGTGTTGCATCAGCAGGGGCGATACTTTCCAGTTGGCCTCAAGTGGGTATCTGTCCTAGTGGTGTGAATTGCTAATACCCTTGGTCCTGTGTATTGTGCAGATATATGAATTCAAGTCCAGAATTTGACCTTAAAGCACGAAGTATTCCAGCGTAACTGGATGACGCTTTCTGCTAATTCAGTAACCGTGTCCAGGGCAAACCTACATCACAGCCTTGGGTATACGACTGCGAGCTCTCTGCCTCTTGAGTGCAAAGCCAATAACACCTGATGAAGAAAGCAAGAGTTTTCCTTGCCATTGGTTCATTTTTAACACTTAAATCTCCTGTAACGTGCGATAATCCCACAGGCAGCCCCAGGTTTACATGTTCAGTCAGCTCAGCTGCATAACTCCCAATCCCTTTCAATCCCTCTGTTTAGTTTCCTTTGTTTTCAGTTTTGATTTATCGAGCTGACATTCATCTCTCTGCTGGTTTTTTTCCCCTTTTTGTCTTTATACAGTACTTTACCTACAGTGTCTTACTGAGTCTCCTGGCCTGCTCTGTGTTCCTTCAGATCAGCTGTATCGGAAAACTGATCCTTATGTTAGTCATTGAATTTATATATGTTCTCATTGTGGAAGTGCCAGGGGTCAACCTTTTTGACAATGCAGATCTCCTGGTTACAGCTAACACCTAGTAAGTGCCTTTCACTTCTGAAATCGTCACCTAATTTCTTTCACCCAATGATTTCAGTGTGGCATTAGGTGGACGGGAGGGCCAAGGCTGTGGTGCAAGCAAGGGAACTGCATGATACCAGAAAAGGCATGGCTTTAAACTAAAGGCTTTGTCAATGCTGCTCTTCACCTCTGAAGAGTAGGTGAACAAAGTTCCCTTTAAGATCATTTTAATGTGGAACTTGACTAATGAACTATCTATTAATAACAAAATATAACTGGAATCAGAGTGAATCTGTATTTCTTTTTCTTCCAGAAATGGGGAACTATAATTAGTCGTTCTTGCTTCTTCTGGTATTACAGTCCCGATATAGAAATGTCTATTCTCAAAAAAGAAAAAAACCCAACCATCCAACAAACTTGAGCTGGCTCAGGGATGTGGTAATGAACCACGAAGATGTTCAGACATCTGGTATATCAAATCCAGGTTGGGGTGGTGGAATAGTGATGTTCGATGTTTGGCTAGCGATCTCCTGACAGTTCTTTTGGACACATGTCTGCATTTGAAAAGCCAGTATCATAGCCAGTCTCAGCACAATTCCCAGCAGAAGGGTCTGGGCTAAGTGGGAGTAAGCAGTTGCCCTTCTACTTAGAAAAGGTAGTTTGTCATGACCAGGTCACACATTAATCATGGTGGCAACCTGCTTCCACTGACATGGTTACTCCTCTCCTGAAGGTCACACCAGAGAGGGAAATTTGGCACATCCACCACCACCCTGCTCCACAAGTTTCATTTCTCACTGGGAGTTGCGTCGTGGTGTTCAGTACTTATTTTGATGATTTCCCCGTGTAGGCAACAATTGTACTTGACTGCGAGTCAATAAAATCATGGTGCTGTCTAAAGGTGAACATGATGCTAGGATGTGTAGTAAGGAGAGTTGCCTGTAAGACATGAGAATTAAACTCTACTCAGGAGTGGGAAGGCCTAACCTGGATATGTTTTCTGATTTGGGGCAAGAAGGCAGTTCACAATAATGGAGAGTCCAGAGCAGCAGAGAACAATCAGAGATCTAGAAAGCACCAGTGTAGTCAAGGATGATAGCTGTGGTTGTTACTGTCTTGGACAGGAAGGTGGCTGAGAAGATTCCCATGGTCCTTCCCAGTGCTTTCGTGTATGTTATGAAATAGCTTGTGTAGTTGCTCAAATTTCTTGATGGTCATTAACCCCTTCAAGCTGTACGCACCTGGTTACTTCTGTCCTTCACAGAAATATTCCACGATTTTAGCATTCTTGTGTGCCCAGTAATAATTAATGGGAGGTATGGCTTTTACTGACATTGGCAATAATCACTTAAATTATTTTGTTAACTCAAGCGAATGAAATTATGTAGGAAACCCCCTTTCTATGGAGCTAGGGGGAGAATGAGGTTTCCTGCCTTTTTTTGCAGATGTTATGTGTTCCAACAGCGGAAGCTATTTAGCATTTTCTAACACAATTAGAGAAATAAAATAGAGAAATAAAAGCATTTTATGTCCCAAATGTAATTTCATTCTTGTAAGTGAAGCACTAAGCAAAATTACAGCATTTAGATGTATAATTTACGTTACTTCACAATCAAAATGTCAGTAATAAAGTAGAGGTTAGCATGTTTTCCTAGAAATAGCTTTCTGTGGTGCTATATTATCTCTCACTAAATGATATTTGTTTTGTCCAGAGAGCTCCAAGGACAGCTCTTTATTGTCCCAATGTTTGGCAGTCCGTTGGTATGTTGTGGGAAATGGGAGCTCAGCATGTAGCACGTAGTTCAGAGATGTACCTTATTGTCCAGCTGATATTAAAAAAAAAAAAAAAACAACAATATGACCTCATACTACTTTAATTGGGTGCCCGTTGTAGCTACATAATTACTGTCTGCTCTGCAGCCATTATGGTACTCTGACTAATTACAAGTGATGCAGATGTCACTTCACACTTCTGTGTACAAACCAACCCAGCATGCAAGCAACTGAAAGGCTGATTATAGCACGTTGGGAGTTGCCAGACTTGACTGCAGCAACACACCAGCATGGAGGCACATAACTGGATGCACAGAGCTCCTATCATGTTACCTTTTCCCTATGCAGAAGATAAAACTAAGGCATTGGTTTTAAAGATGGGATTGACCAATGTGATCTTCTAAGTTGAGTTTGCATAGTGGAGCCCAAAGAGCTTTGCCCAGTGATTTGTTCATCAAGCCCATCATTTCTGTTTGAGCTGTGGTTTGTGATTTAGAGGACTTTCTGTCCTTGGCATCGTGGCTATGAGAAAGGAGATGCTTCTGTCCTATGGGAGCTGTCCCCAAAATCAACCACCTTTCCTGCTAAAAATGGGCACTTAACTTGAGCGGGAGTGCATTTAGCAAGCTTCTCCCTGTGTTACCTTCCATTAATCAAAGAGCCATCTGCTACTGGAAACGCCTGTCCCATGGAGGAGCAACCTACCAATGTAACGCCGTTTATTGCTTGCACTGGGCATTTTCACTTATCCAAGGCGTGATTGTAAATTCTGGGTTTGCTGCATTTCATAGTCTCTGCTGAAGATTTTAGAGCAAGCGTAGCACCCACAGTGAGCCGCAGCCCCCGTACAGAGGGTCAGATCTGCCATGCTGCCATCAAAAGACAGAGTGATAATGGGGACAGGCAGTCATCCTTGGCCAGGTAGTGATTTAGGGGAGCAGGGGAATCATGCTGCATGTGGGAAGTTGTCTGCAACTCCAACTAGATTCAACCTTTAGTGTGGGAGTCACTGTCCCCCGGGTTCCCAAACCAGGTCCACATCCAAGCACACGTGTTCAGTGCTGGAGCTGGCCAAGAGGCAGGGGAATAGATTGTGTGCAAGACAACGGTGGTTTGCAAAATCCGTGTTAGAAGAAATTCCATGCTCAGAGGTGCAGAAAATGTCTCGGAACAAACAAGGTTAGAGAGTCACTATGCTTTTATTTTTTAATTTTATGTTCAGTTAGGCCCCCTCAGCTATTGTGATTTTGATGATTTGTATCTCTGATTCTGTAGCGAGAGGTTCCCCCAGCCCCAGAAAACTGTAGCCTGAAGCTCTCGAGACAGCTGTGAGATTCTCAGGCTAAAGATGTGTCATGTTAGTAGCCTGCAAAGCTGTAATTGCATCGATGACACTGCAGTAATTTTACCACTGATCTCTTTCTTTCCATTTAAATAGTGTTTTAAAAAGGTCCATGGTACATGGTTCTCAGCCACCTAATACTCCACCCACACTTGAGAAGAAACCCCGCAGCATTAAGCAATCAATCAGTCAGGAACTCAGACAGCTACTACGTACCAGAAAGCTCCTTTCCATCCTTTCCCTGTAAGAAAAGCACACCCTCCATCTTCTCCAGCAGCTCTGTTTCATACGAGTACTTTCCAGTGTTGTGAATAGAAATAGCAACCCACATAAGGGTTTTCTTTAGTGCACTCGTGTGCAATACCCATAGCGAGGCACAACGCTGGAGACGAGCAACTTGCAGAAGAAGGAAGCAGTGCTAGAGTTAAAGGAATTAAATGCACCTCCATGCTACAGTAAATAGGGAAGAGAGGAGCTATCCCTGCCCAGATATTAGCCCAAAGCTTCTTTCTTTAGATTTTCCAGCCTGACCTGATGAAGTAGTGATGGATGCACAAGCATTTGCTAAGCATCCCACACTGACATTAAAATCCGATATGATTCTCTGACTTTTAATGCTTCTTAGCTATTTCAGCCCTATTAACCATGTTGCACCATAACTCTGGATTTTTGAGTGTAGCTCAGACCACCTTTTTTCTTCACCCCCCCCTTGTTGTAGTTTTCTGCTTTAAAAGGGCTCTAGCCCCACACAGTGTTAGAGGTGCCACATTGCAGAGGTGCTGTTGAAGGAGGTACAGAAGGACGAGTGCTGGAGGGAGCCAAACACTCTCCTAACCTTATGTTTGTGGTTTTTTTTTTCAGCGTGTCTGCAAATGCAACGTTATCATGGTGAGTCACTTTGGCATGAAATATTTTTCTGGGGTTTTGTTGGTAGGTATTTTCTGTTCACAAGGTGCAATATCAGCACGTTGACTCACCAGCAAGTGTCTGGTATTTGACTTTACTTTGACTATACATATTTGGTATATGCATTGCTGCGAGCTGGTGCAACACAGGGCAAATGCCCTAAGTGGCCTGAGTATTGCCCTCTTGTATGTATAGCTACTCTCAGATCATCCTCTTTCCTGTGGGAAATCTTGCTTTACAGAGCATCTCATAGAGCTTACTTGTAATTACAAGTTAAAGGTTTTATCAAAATAATATTTTCATACTGTGTAACTCCGTAATTCAGATTTAACCGTTTTTACTTGCTTGCTTGTCAGAAGGGATGGGAATGTGTCTCAGTGCTCTTTTCAGCTTATAGAATACTCACAAAACAAAGGCCTTTAAGAAGTGACTAATTAGAGAAGCAGTAAATGTAGAACGGTTCCAGGCTTAGGAGCCTGGGGAAGCCAGTGCAGGAGACACAATGAATACACTCTGGAGAGCTGTCAGCATTTCCGTTTTGCCAAACATAGTGGTGGCTGAGCATGTACGGCCATTCTCTAAGAAATGGCTTTTAAATTGATACTAACCCTTTTTAAGAAGTTGGATTAAATTTCCGATTTCAAAGTCCTGCTTTAGAAACCAGCACCTATGAGCCAAAGTCCTCAGCTTTTTGCAGGTATTGGTTGTCCCTTTACCAACAAACATGTGCTTTGAGGGGAAAGAAAAAAAGTCTTTTCTTCAGAGGTTGGTTAGCCTTAAAGTGGGAACTGCGGAGCATGGCTAAGCTGTGCTGTGTTCCTCCACGCTGAGACTAACTGGGAAATTCTGCTCTTCCCTTGGCCGCAGCTCTCCAGCGATGACACGAGTTGCGCTGAAGATTGTGACCCCTGTCATCATTACTGTCTTTGTTCTGGCGCTGTACTTGCATGCCCAGCAAGTGGAATCCACTGCAAGGCTTGATTTCCTCTGGAAGCTCCAGGTTAGTGGGTGTTTGCTGTGTTGGAGGGATACACATCGTCCTTGGCATTAATATAAAGCTACTGAGCTATTCACTATCAAGTTGAGGAGTGTTATAAAGTGCCTTTGAATTTAATCTGGATCTGGCATATAACTGGGCATAGTAGTAATGCTCTGCTCTTCTTTGGTACTTTGCATACTCAGTGCTTCTCATCCTGCTTATTTACTTTAGCCCCTTGTTTCCTTGTAAATGCACTTTGGATGGTCCCCACAGTAAAGGCTTATAGATCTGAAGATCCAGGTTAATGAATTTGGGCAACTGAGCCTGTCACTGTTGCAGGAACCTTTAACACAATTTGTAAATATAAGAAGCTCATATTCGCTGCTGAATTCCCAGAGTTCAGCGAGCTTTAGTTTGCTGTGTTCAGGGCTGTGAAAGATTCACATTTGCATTTTCATTCACTTTCCTGTTAAGCGGTGGGAACTGGCTTGATACCCAGCCTTCATTAGCCCCTAGGCAGCAGTACTGGAGAACCAGCACACTACAGATAATGCCACACTGTGGCCTTGTCCCTGGCTTCAGTGTTAAATGTTTTCACTGCTTGTGCCCACAACTGATGCTGGGGCATCGTATGTGATTCTCAAGTGAGCAGGACTCAGCTTTGCCCAGGACTCATAGCTGGGGGACTGCAGGTTTTATATAGTTTTTTAACCTTCTGGCTGGCAGGACATCATACTAATAATAGGTCTCAGTGGTTTGAGTAGGAGGCACTTGAGGAAGCACCAAGTAATTAAAGCTCCTTGGGAAGCAGATAAACTTTGTTATCCTCATTTATAAATGGTAAAACAATGGAAGGGATGAGCCAACTTGCTTGTTCTGTGTCTGGGCTCAGCTGGCCAGAGCATTTGTTCCCCCAGGCAGAGCCAAGCGTTTTCCTTGTTCTGTCCAGACATACCACCTTCTGAAGGGTCCTTCTTTGTTTAACTTAATTTCCAGTTTCAAATGGCCTGTTTCAGAAACCAGCATCCATGAGCAAAGTCATTAAGTGCTTTGCAAGTATTGCTTTGTGCCTTTACCAACATGTACTTAAGGGCTGTGGGGAGGTTATCCCTTCTCCCCTCACAAAGTGAGGGCTGGAGAGTATGACTGAGGCTGTGTTCACCCACGCCAAGGCCCAAATGTGCCAGGAAAGTCTTTCCTTTTTTTGGCTTCAGCTCTCTGGCAATGACAAAAATCATTAGAAAAAAAGATTTGAAAAATACCCATTTCAAAAGGCTGTACATTTTGCCTGGTGCCTCTGCTGAAGTGGAGGGTGCTGTACACAGGACAGTGTACTTCGGGGCTCCTGTAAGCCAAACTGCTCTGTGTGACCCCTGTCTCAGCTGCACCGTCCCCAGTCCTTGCCTGACCCTGTTTTTTCCTCTGCTCAGAAATATTCAAAATGGCAGAAAGTAAAACAAGGGGGGAAAATACCGCTGCCATCAGTAGGGGGGAGAGAGGTGATCAGTACACACACCTCTGTACCTTTACCTACAAACCAGAAGCAATGAATTGAGGTAATGCTGGTACTGTGCAAGTCTGCAAAGAGATACCAAATCTCGTTCTGAAGTCTCATTAATCTAATGAACTTTAAATGCTTGTTTTATTTTAGTCATCTAGGCCTAGGTACATCCTAGGTGGCCTAGGCACAGCCTAGGTACATCCTTCCTGAAGCTCTGGTTCCATCAGAACATTAAACCCAAATCCACACCCATTCGCCCAGAAACAAGACAACCCATCCTCCTCATGTTTCCCTTTGCCCGGACGCACCCCCACTGCCAGAGGAGACATGGGCTTTACAGGCTGGTGAAAAGTCCTCTCCGAAGTGTCGGACTGGCCTGTTTCATGGGCTCCATGGTAACTGTATTTCACGACCATCATTGCACCTCAGCAAACCTTGTGGAAAAGGAGGAGGATATATAAATATATATAAATATAAAGGATCTTTTCTTTAGCTACATGAGCATTTGCGGGCTGCAGGGAGAGTATTATAATTCAGTGCCACCCATGCAGTCTTTAGCAATGATGAGCTCTCTTTGTCCTCCTGAAACCCATTGTGCCTGACTGGGAAAGCCAAATGTGTGTTTACATGGATGGTAGGATGGTGGTGGCGTTCCACAAAAGGGAAAGACCTTGTACAGGTTACTCAATTCAGGGCCCAGAAATATAACAACATTGGATTTTGGTGTTACTCTGTGCCTGATTTTACATATGCATGTGCACACAAAGCGACAGACCATCTTCCACTGCAAAACTGAAGTTTCTGCATCTCTCTGGTTCTGCCCTCCTTTGCAGTTTCCCCCTTTCTTGTTTCTGTCCTCCCTGCAAGTTCATTTTCAGCTTTTTTCCCCTCCCCAGAGCAGTTACCAAAAGAGTAAGCACATCACTGTCTCTCCCTCCTAAACTAGGCCACTGAAGAGAAAGAAGAAATGGAGGAGCTGCAGGCCTATAACAGACGCCTCCTCCACAACATTTTGCCGAAGGACGTGGCAGCCCATTTCTTGGCTCAGGAGCGGCGAAATGATGAACTGTATTACCAGTCCTGTGAGTGCGTGGCTGTCATGTTTGCCTCCATAAGCAACTTCTCAGAATTTTATGTGGAGCTGGAGGCCAACAATGAAGGGGTGGAGTGTCTGAGACTGCTCAACGAGATCATTGCTGATTTTGATGAAGTAAGTTGCAGAAAATTTGGGTGGACAGAGTGAACCGAATCAATGACTTTAGTTGGGCTTTGCTAAGCTCCTGAAGGAAGGTGGCTTATTGAATCCTTGTGCCGTGGTTCCTTTCTCCTTGCTCTAGAAGTCTTTAACTCCCCCTCGCCTCCTTAAAATCCTTTCTATTCCCTTGTCACTTCTCCAAGTATCTAATCCCCTTTCTTCCTACACTTTGAGTAGTGGAGCCTCTTTCCAGTACTTTGTAGTGTTTGGACCGAGGGAGGACACAGGGCAAGGATATTACCAGCATGTTTGTCAAGGTTTATTTGCTTCTTTTGCTCTTGTGAAACAGATAATAAGCGAAGACCAATTTCGGCAGCTGGAGAAGATCAAGACCATTGGCAGCACGTATATGGCTGCATCGGGCCTCAACGATTCCACTTATGACAAGGAAGGGAAGACGCATATCAAAGCTCTGGCTGATTTTGCCATGAGGTTAATGGACCAAATGAAATACATTAATGAACATTCATTCAACAACTTCCAGATGAAGATAGGTAATGTCACTGTGTTTACAGGATTTAGTATAGGTAGCGGTCATTCTGAGCTGGGGATTTTATGGAGAGTAAAAACCACAGATGTTACGGTAGCTGTACAGAGATGTTGTCTTGCGCCTGGTGACCATTTTGGCCTCTCTGAAACATCACAGCAGCTTTATTAGGGTAGCAGCATTATTACTGAAGCTCCCCGGAGAATTAGGAGCAGTTGCTCCACCAGCCCTGGCGCAGAGAAGCTCTTACCACTGCATTATCTTGCATGGTGGTTGAGCTTGGACTCATTTGCCTGTGATGTGCTCCCTTGCCCACACCCCCTGTGGTCCCCAGCTCTGCCATTCTCGGACATTGTCTTTCAAGTCAGGGAATAAAGAGAGACAGAAAAGAACAAGGAGGAGAAAAGTGAGGATTTCAAGTGTGGTATTTGTTCTGGAAGGCCGATGGGCTGCTGCCTCGCAGGCACTCAGCATCACAGCAGCTGTGTGCTGACTTCCAAGTGAGCAGTTTGCTTGGCAGCCCCATGGGAAATAAACCTTATCCTGTTACCTGGTACTAGAAAGTAGCTCTGGATTGAGCAGATCCAGCCCATGCTGCCAGTCAGACAGGCATAATGGATCAAAGCAGCCAACTTTTCTTAAAAAACGTCTTTCCCCACAGTTTGGGCATAGCTTTACATGTCAAGGTAAAACACAGCTACAACCAATGAACCTCAGGATGTTTTTATTGTCTGAAAAATAACTTGCCTCAAGCTTCGTGTGGTTCCCACATGATGGATCTGAGTGTTGTTGGATTTCTCCTCTCCTTCCAGGCCTCAATATTGGTCCTGTCGTAGCTGGGGTGATAGGAGCACGCAAACCCCAGTATGACATATGGGGCAACACGGTGAATGTCGCCAGCCGAATGGACAGCACAGGTGTGCCTGACAGGATTCAGGTAAGGAATTCAGTGGAAAACTTACATTGTCACTCACACCCCTGTGTCACTTACGGGTTTTGAAACTTAATTAGAATTGGAATTTTGGTTTCGTTTTATTGCTTTATGCCATACATTTTACTTGCACAGTACTGAAAGAAAAGCCAGCTGGGGAACATTAGTGGTACCATCAAGTTTTGCCTTTTAATCTTGACCAACTTTGCAACCTTTGGTCAAAAACTTGCAGTTTAGTTCTGGGTCCTTTACATAAGCACAGTCCCACTGTGGTGCTTACTAACTCGTGCTGCCAGCTTTGCTGTTCGGCTTCATGCAGCTGTAGGTTGTCTTATTTTCCAAGGGCTTGATTCAGAGATGCATTTCTGTAAGTCACTTCTCTGTTCACAACGTCCTACGTGTTGTGAGGCTAGCAGGGACCCATGCATCAGTGGGATGGGGAGCTAGAGAAAGAGGACGGTTTAAGGGTTTTATGGAACCTGTCTTGTAATCAAACATCTCCTTGGCCTTCAGACAGTGACCCTCCTTTCCAATGATTCATTTCCACTGTCCTGCTTTCACTCAGCCCATGTCCACAGTAACAGATTGTCATTCCTTGGGAAAGTACTGAAGGCATATAAAAATAGTTAGAGTAACTGATGTAAAACCCAAGAGGGGAAGCCATGCTGTTTCTTTCCAATTAAGCTGTTGGTCTGGATCAATATTTACCCAACACCCTTTAAACTTTCCTACAAGATGGTCCGTGAACAATTTTCATTCTAAGTTAAACAAATCAGCACAGCAATGTTACAGCAATAGGAAGCCAGAAATGGAAATATTAAAGCCACCTGAAAAAGGATGAGAAAATACATTGCAATAAATAAATATCTCAGGAAATCCGGTCTTTGAACTAATGTTATTCTGCAGCACAAGTGACTGTTTTTGAATGGTATCTGCAGAGAGAATTTGGATGCTGGCTGGATTATTCCATTCGGTTGGTCTTGTTGCCCACTACCTATCCCTTCATAGAAACAAATCCTCAAATGGCTCCTCAATTGTACATCCACTGTGTAGTTCCCAAGTAATTTCTGAGGACTTTTTAAATATGTTTAACCTGTTTTCCTACTACCACTCCAGTGATAGAACAAATGCATCTGAGTAGACTGAACTGCCAGGTGCGTTTTTAAAAATGTGACTCATTTGTTTCGTTTTATCCTGTGACCTCCTTGAAAAATGTGGATTTCCCCCAGTTGTGTACTGGGTATGACTTCTGTAGTTTCTCAGTTTCTAAAGGTGGTGTTTGTTCTGCAACTTGTGCCAACCTCTGAGTTAGTGATCAATATGCAGAAGTCGCCTGACTGACTTACTTAGAAACAGAATAGTTGATCCTACTTTAATTTTGTCTGTGGATTACTCCAAAATCAAATGAAAAGACTGTGGAAGACACGACAAGCATCTGCTTACTCTTGTTTATTCTGCAGGTAACTACAGACATGTACCAGGTTTTAGCAGCCAACAACTATCAGCTGGAGTACCGAGGGGTCATAAAGGTCAAAGGCAAAGGAGAAATGACCACCTACTTTCTAAATGAAGGGCCTCCAATTAGTTAGCACCAATTGCAGCATTACTCAAAGACAGAATTGCTTTACACGAGGTAGATTGTGAATCGGAGAAGAATCGCTTTTTGGCAGTGAAGCTGAAAACGCAGCGCAGCTGAAACTTCACACGGTGACTCTGGAGCTGGTATCAGCAAACTCTTTGGCCACCCGTCATGAATGGCAATCGAAAGAAACCACCTTGGCATTGTTCCTGTCCGAGAGCTAAGTCAACCAAAGATGTGTACTACAGAGTTCACAGATAAGACATGGATTTGGAATTTTTAAAAAAGGCTGCTACCACAGGATGATATAAGAAGCTATTTAAGTATTTATTGACGCAACACAACATTTACTTGGTTGAAGGAATGTATGATTCACTACAAAGCATTATTTTGGAATGGATTTGCACTCCCATAATGTTTCCATCCCATACTGCCAGCTATTTGAAGTGTACCACTGTGCTTTTATTGGCTGTTTTGAATGGGCTTTCAAAACTGACACCCACTGTTGCAGCACACGAAAAGGCCTTTTAGAAGGGTGTCCGTAATGGTTCAGTGTGAAAAGACATTACAGCCCTGGCCCTCTCTTTTCCCTTCTTCTGTGTGGCTAAATGACTGCTCTTCTGAGTGGGGCTGGCACAGCCGATGAAGGGGAACATCGAGATAACGGAAGATGGCTCTACAACCATATTTATTAAGAAGTCTTCTGTGCTCTTCTTTGGTATATATCAGTTTACATGGGAAAGACTAGATGTAAACAAGAGACACTTTGTGGGGGGAACTCCCCTGAAATTTGTTGTGGGTTTTTTTTGTATTTTTTATTTTGTAATATTGAAAACATGGAGATCTAACAGATATACCAAATTCTATATTTTGTAAATTATATATAAATTAGAAGGCAGGCTGTCCACACCAAGGTGTGGTGGGAGGTGTATATAACCTGTAGACTTTTCTGTAATTTTTTTGTGCATAACACTCTGAACACAGACTTGGCAGTTTTCAGATTATCACTATACAATCAACCAACAGCAAACAGGTGAGTTTCCAGGCTGAATCAGATCATTTTAAAATGAAACTCCAGAAAAACCTACAACCCCAAAGAAGAGGAAAAAACAAAATGCGGTAGTCACACAGCTGTTCCATGCAGCATTCACGCGGAGGGTTGGCGCCTTAACAAATGGAAACAGGACCTTTGAGTTTTAGCTACTGAGACAGATTCAGTTAAACATGCCAAAAAGAGCTCTAAGCAAATCTTCTAACTAACTCTAACAGGAGCTCTAATAAGAAGAGAAAAAAAATAAGCTCCTTTGAACTTTTCTTTTAAAAAAAAATCATTTTTCATAGATGGTCTTAATAGAATCCTGCTGACACGAGAGCTGTCTGATATTGTAACTGCCATTTGACATTACAAGGAACTACGTACTGCAGCATCAAGCTGACTTTCCGGTAGTAGGCACTTATTTAAACTGAGTCACAGATTGCTGATTTTCAGGAATTAGGTGGTCTTCAAAAAAGGTTATGATGGGAAGTGTGTGTATGAGGTGGTCAACTTTACAGTGCCATTGATAATGTGTTGGGCATCTTTATCACTAGTGGGGGGTTTATGAATAGTTCACTGTTACCATTTATGTACCTTTTTTAGCTATTAAAGAAAAATCCCTTGATATTTTATTAAAAAAAGAAAATAATTTTTAAGAAAAAGCTATATTTTTTATATTCTATGAAGGGAAAGTTTTGATATTGAATTTGGCTAGCACTAAAAATTACTCCAATCTTTTGACATTTAATAAAGTTCTTTTCCACTCTTCTCAGGGCAGAATTATTGTAGTACTAACAAACAGCTTAATGATTGCACTGTGGTGGTGGTGGTGGTTTATTTTTTCCTACTCGACAACGAGAATAAGAGAAAATCCATGGGCCTGTCTTAATTAATTTGCTGTACTGCTAAGCATAACCCGAGCATTAAGCCATTTAAACGTGAGCTTAAATGGCATCGCCCCTTTCCTTCTCCCTTCCACTAGGAAACATCTCTGAAAAGTATAGTATATTGACTTCTGTAAAACTGCCAAGTCTGCCCTTGTACTATACTTTTGCTCCTTTACATCTTTCCTGGTTTGCAAAATACTTGAGTTGCATCATGCTGTTCTGCCTCCCCCTTCCATCCCTTTTACCCCCTCACTGAGTTTCATTACCTTCATGCCATACACTCGGTTTTAGGTTTGCTTTCTGCTTTACGAAAGTCTGCAGTCGTCTTAACTTTTGATTCATCTTATGAAGTTGTGTTGTCAATGAGATTTCAAGTCCCCAGTATCTCTAGCTGTGATTGTTGACAGTGTGTCATGATCATTTCAAGGGGTATTCACATGTTCTTTACTCTGATCTTGCAAAAATGGATACAGTTATGATTTCCCATGGAAATTGAAATCTATTTAAGTAATTTAACTATATTAAACACTGTTTCACTGGTAAAGTGTCTCTGTTTTATTTTAGCCACATCCGCCTAGGGAAGAGCAGACCTAAGTTAGTTGTGTAGGAGATGCTGAATCTGCAAACAGAGGCATCCAAGCCTTGACTAGCGCTGACGGATGGCTGTTTGGACCATGCTGGCACTATACCACACCCAGTTACAGAGCCTCACGGGCTTGGCTGCATGGCAACCAGCCCCTGGGTCCCCCTTGTGCACCCACTTGCCTTGAAACGTTAGTCTCAGGATAGCTGACAAAGCCTCCTTGTGGCACTGCGGTTAAACATACCAGTATACCTGAATAACTTAAATTGTTTTGTGTGTGTGTCCTCTTTGAAAAACACACCTGTGTGTATTTTAAAAAGTACATTTCCTTTGCCAAAGCATTCCCCAGGTACCTTGGTACTTGTCCTCTCAGGGACCTCTGGAAGGAGGCAGCCGTGCTTGCCAGTGCAACATTCTCAGTCTTTACAGGTAAAAGTAAATGCTACACGTAACTATACCAATTCACAGAAGCCTGAAGTGTAACTGAGAAAAACCTGCAGCTTTCAACTGGGCGAGAGCCCAGCACCAACAAGCTCAGCAGCAACGCTGGTGCGGCACAGGTGGCACCTGAACAACACGCTCCGCAGGAGACCAGCTAGCCCCTGAGATCTTTTCTTTAAACACAGAATTTCAGACGCAAACCACTATTGCCATCTACTGGAAATGGACTTGTGCTTAGCCAGGCACCATGACCACTGCTGCCGAGCGCTCCCACCGAATCAGACCGACAGAGACACAAAGCCCCCAGCCCCATTCCATCATGGTAGGATGGGAGAGCACATCACAACCTAAAGGCAGCCACTCCTTCCAAAGTAACTGATTGTACACAAACTGTCAAATGCAACTTACAGATAAGCAAAAAAATAATCACCCTCAGCTGCCTGTGTCATCATCCAATCCCCCCACCAGCACAGCAGCCAGTGGTGCAACACCACAAGGCCCAACCACACATGCTGCTGCTGCTGCTCCTCACTATGAGGGTGCCCCTGGAAGGCTCCAGAGGCCTCCCCACCTAACGGCAAACAACTTCTTGCGTGGCGCAGTGCAAGCTCCAACAGGAGCCATGCAACGCCTGTTCTGTGACAGCCAAATCTGGCATGGCTGAACCTTGAGTCCTGCCAAACGCAGGATGAAGCTGTTGCCAGCGACCCTGCCGTGCCGTCAGGACAATGGCTTCAATTCAAAGAATCACAGAATGGCTGGGGTTGGAAGGGACCTTAAAGATCTAGTTCCAACGCCCCTGCCCTGGGCAGGCAATCATTCCTTCCCTATAGCACCTAACACTGAGGTGACAAGAGCCACGAATCTCCTGCTCTCACCACTCGGGTACACTTGGTGCTCTCCTGTCCTTCAAGTGACTGTTGCCATTCAGTCTGTCTGAAACAAAATACAGGCTAATGGACAACCTACGTCTCCTTTTGACTGGCACAGCATCCCAGCAGAACCATGCCTGGGGGACGGGGAGAGAACACTGGAAGAAAGAAAGAGAGCCACAGAGTGCCATCTTGATGCCATGCACCTCCTGCTAGGAAGGAATCTGAACTTGTCATCTACCTGTCTCAGGAGGCTTTGCCTCTGACGAAGAAAGAAATATCATCCAGGAAAACAAAGATTCCATAAATGTTCTAAGGTCTGACCAACTTTTGGATAGCTCTATAAAGTCAGGATAGCAATGGAGGCGTACCAATTGACAAAAGTGCTCCTTAAAGTTCATTAACAAACATTTGATCAATAAAACTGATGAACCACAATTTTGTTCAGTAAAAGAAGCTGGTACAGACACTGTGAGACCATTTGGCCTTACCAAAATAAACAGTACCTGGAATATCTGACCAGCTATGACTGGAACTGCACACACAGCTGGATGCTCCAGGGTTCCTCAGACTCCTGCTGAGAGATCAGCTGGACTCTTGTCAACACAGGGCTGCAACTGCCCTCGAAGCAGACCCCCTAGTGCCACCCTTCTCATCAATTACCTCCAGTCAGGGAAAAACCCCTCCTGTAATACATCCCTTTCTATTAACACCATTCAGAAAGCTGGGATTTTTGCAAGGCCTTAACACATCTCTAGAATGCTATTTATTCTGACAAAAAGCCGATGCAAACACTAAACGTATGCTATTTATTTTGAAAATGTTAATGAGCTGCTTTTTTTCCAACACAAACCATGAATGCAAAAAACAATCATACCATAGTACATACAGTGGAAATGGGGAATGAAAGGCAAGAGACTGAAAGGCAATATCCCTAAACAGATATTCCTCAGTCCTTTGATAAAGAGACTATCAATATATTAAAGAATCCACAGTGAACGTTAAGTAATCACAATGTCTGCAATGGAAACCAGTTTCCATCATCATCTAGTTCTCTGCTAGCTTTGATATAGCTAAATATCAATCCAAGTAACGCATACATACATTCCCTCACAGAAGGCTGCTTTCTTTTCTACACCTCTCTCTCCCCAGATATATTCTTATGTATCTATCTTAAACACACACGTGTATGCGAGTCTTCCATGAAGCAGTGTGAGAAGGAAAAGGGGTCTACACATTTTCCAGGGTCTGAAAAGTTATTTCCTTGCAAAACCTGACGATTCACAAACGAGACAAGTTCTTATCCCCAGCTATTGGCGCAGACATTGAATACAAGAGAGCAGACGACATAAAAAACCTCAGATATTAAAGAAAAATACGCAAGGAAGAATGTGATTAAATCTCTAGAAGCTCAAATAGGGGACTCGGAGGTACTCAACCAGCATTAAATATACATTGTGGAAGTCAGTCAAACTTCTGTCCATCCCTTCCTGAGGGCGAATGTACACAGTGACATGTAAACAGTGACACCTTATTCAAAGAAAAAGATGGTACTGTGGGTGTTGCATGGACCCATTTCAACCTTAACATGGGCTTACTTTATCAATACAGCATGAAGTGGGCTCTGCTTCTACTAAGTCCCACAGAAAAATCAAGGAACTATGAATGGCTTTATGCAGTTCAAACTAAAATAAAGCATGTTGTTCAAGAGAGTAGTCATCTTTTGTAAGCTCATCTTCATAAGTCTAATGACTCAAGTATCTGGTAAAATCAGCAGGGAAGCACCTACTATTCTCTGAATGCTGAGTTTGCATAAACAAAGGGGAAATCCTGGGAATTTTCAGTATATTTTTGCCTCCAACTTGGCCTGGTGTATCATGTTTCTCATCTCACACAAAATTTCAGTAAGTTCTAATATAGTCAAATGAAAGTAGTATGTTCAGAAGCCACGTTTTTAGCACCTGGTAATATCAGGTAATGAAGAATA